ATGATGATGATGATGATGATGGTACCGGGGGCGCTGGTGATGGTGATGGATTTGCCGATGATGCTGTTGATGATGTTGTTGGTGATGGTGTTGATAGTGCAGGACCAACTGGGCATCAGGCCTTAAGGTCCTTATGGTTTTCAGACCGGTAGAACGGGGCAGCACTCTGGCAGGACCAATGGAGCAACCAAGGGGAACCTACCCGGAACGATGGTAACTGGAGTGATCGAAACTTGCCGCATGGATACAGTAACAATGAACAACGGTTTTTCCCGGCCTGAAACCACCTCCGCACAAGACCTCGGCCAAGGTCTGAGTTTGGGAGTCTCGGGCTTTGCGGCCTGCGCATTTACGGTGTTGTCTCTCGTGCTGCTCTATCTACGTCCCATGCGTTTAGTCTAGGAGGAGCGCCTATGACACATAAGGTCCCGAAACAGTACTGGGCCGACAGAAATCAGACGTGCTGCTTGAAGGCACAACCTTCTTGCACAATGCTCCTGAACCCCGACCCCCACACAAGTTGGCTAGTCTCCTCTGTAGCACAGGCTTGTATATATCAGCCACAGGAACATGCCCCAGAATCCTAAGCTCTAACCGAAACCCTAAATATCAATCTCCACGTCAAGGGCAGCTCAATTCTTCCTGTCCCCCCCTGAGGTTTCGAGTGAAGGCCCGCGGGTAGAGGGGCTTTGTGGCATAGGGTTTCAAGTGTAGGGGGCGGCATTCCGATCATGGATCTACAACACTGCATGCCTCAGCGTCACTTAGAGCAAGCTACTGAGGGGGTTTCGCAGGTGTGCGTCGGCGTGCACGGCTATCTATTTGAAGCTCAACCTGCACTTCCTGCACCCGAAAACCGTTGAATCACACGTCGAAGTCTGAAAATTCGTTGGCTCATACCTCAGGATCGCACACTTGGTAGCCTGCACAGGGCAAGAATCTTGGAGGGGGGCTTGAAGGTTCGGGTTCCGTGGCTTCTCCAGCATCGGAGTCCAACATGTTTGAGATAGATGGATGGATGGCTAGGTGCCGGGCGGGAGGGGGGGAGGGAGGGGACGGACGGACTATTCACGTCTCAATATACATTCATCAAACCCCGGCGGGCCAGCTGGAATGGACAAGTGCCTTTGGATCTAACGACAAAAGGTTGCACAACTGCACACAACTGTTTAGCTTGGCTTACATGTGCCAGTCGCGAGGTTCAACATCCCGATATTCAGCCACTGGACTTGCCTGCAATAGATTCACCGCCATCGAAGAGGGGCGCAGTCCACTCGAGCTCGACTGCATACCTCTCTGGACTGCACATGTAGAGGCCTCAAACCCGAATTGGGCAGCTGCAGTTCAGCAGGAGACCTGAATTGAATTCGTACTACCCTGTGACCCTGAACCCGAAGCCATCAACCCGATACACCCTGAGACGGAACTCCCAACTTATGAGATCAAGCCCTAAACTCTAAACCCTAAAAACTCCGAAACTCTCCTGGGCCTTAAAAAAGGGATCCCACCCCCGGGCTTACTGCTCGACCAGTGTAACGTTGAGCTGCCAGGGCTCTCCTGGAGGCACCTCCGGGGATGGAGGCTCAGGGCCCGGGAACCTTTCGTCTGGGGACCGGGGTTCTTGGGTTTCGTGTCTCGTCGTGTCTCGTCGCGTCTCGTCGCGTCTCGTGTCTGCAGCTTGGGCTCGGAGTTCAGGCTTTCGAGGGTGAAGCGGGCCGTACTTTGAGGCCGTCTCGAGCAACTTCCGAAACCTTCCACCTTGCAGAAGCCAAGAAGACTATGACTGGAGAAAAGGAACCTTTCAGCAGCGATGAACTTCGAATGACTTCGACCACTGCTGAACCCTAAGTCTAAGGTTGAAACCATAGGCCCCTCGAAGCTTGCTGTTGTGGCTCCATCATAAGACTCACTCCCCGGAGTCTCCAGAAACTCAGTGCTATGGGCTTGGCGTCCTAGCACTCCTGAACAGGCAAGATGTCAGGCTTGTGCTTCATCCGACAGAAACTGCAACTGCCCTGAAGCCGTGCACTGGCGCCTGAAGCGTACGCACGGCTGCACTCAGATTGCTCTCCTCCGTTGCAAAGAAGTGAACTGCCTATGTATCGAGACCCCAAGTCCTCTTTTGTGGCTGCGGCTTGAAACAGAGCCAGCATGCATGTGCGACGTCCTTGCTGGCGCCAACAGAATTGACTGCGGAAACCTGGGCAGCTTGAAGTTCCGTTCGCGAACTTTAACTACAGATCAAACGCACAGGAAGGCCATTCTGACACTTTGCCCCGTCTCAGTACACTTAGACCCAGGCCGTGAAGGCGTAAGATGTCCAGCCAAGGAGTCCATCCACGGCCACCTCCACTCGCCCGGGTTCTCGCTTCAACCCGTCAGCCCTCGTACAGTCGGCTAGTAATGGCCAGAAATGAAGCCTGACCATTTGAACGTGGGAGTGGCACTCCGCTGGCTGACGATGTGTCATGTTAAAATCCTCAGAAAGGCCTGCACATCGCGAACCGAATCCGGATTCATATGCGAAGGAAAGGGCTCGAAGCTTGCTAGGATTCACCAGATCCCAACCGAGAAGCCACAGCCGCACCGCCTGAGTGTGGCTGCTCTGCATCACCTTCGCAAGGCTACCTGCAGGTTGAACGTAGGCACGGACGATGTAAGCCACCTCAACGGGATGGTGCGACTTCTGGAGTGCTGGGACTTTGGGATTTGGTTTCCGTTCTCTGGGAGGGATGCAGCCCGGTAGTGTAGTAGTAGTAGTAGTTAGTAGTAGTAGTAGTAGTAGTAGTAGTAGTAGTAGTAGTAGTAGCAGTAGCAGTAGCAGTACAAGTAGTAGTA